TAAAGACTAAAATAAAACGCTTCCGCCCCGAGCGGACCAGCGGCGATCCATAGGTCCACATATCCATATCCACATCCATCCACACGCACACACACAATGGCTGACGTGAGTGATCCCAGCGAGCTCTTCGACTTGGAGCTCCACGACCTGGAGCTGCAGGATGACAAGGCCCGGGACTCCGACGACGACAGGATCGAGCTGGACGACGTAAGACAACCATAATCGCGCATCCATGTTCATTACATCGCTATGTATGCATGCACATATGTAAACTGCGCAGCAACAATTTCCCTCTTTGTTTACCTTTTCTGCTTTGTCTGCGAGTTTTCCTTTCGGTCGTCTGGGCATCCCAGTTACACACCCCCTCTTTATATCCAATATTCCCATACCCATTATCCACACACCCTGCAAACTCGGCTTATCTGCTGCGCAAATGTCTGGCGTCATCCATCCAGTCGCAGATTATTCAGCACGTACACTCATTATACGGAAAGTTCCCCACGATCCGAAAACCTCCTTATGAAACCATCGATTGATATTGGCCAATCGAAGCCAGCGGTGTCCTTCAAAATAATCAGCACCAATTACCCGCCACACTCCATAGCTATATGGAATGGCGGCCCCCTTTCGTACCGCCCCTGTCCAAACTAAAATGCAACAACTGCAAAGGTGGAGGGGAACGAGAGGGGGCCAGACTGAAAACGATCGTCGGCTCGCTCGCACCCTCGGAAGAGTCTAAACTTCCACTTAGAAAACGAAATTCCTTATCAGCGGACAAAATAAAATTAGAAAATGAGAAAAACCTCACCGAGCTGATAAGGGAGCACAACAAAATGAAGGAAAGAGCAGGCAGGCGATCGAGTGATCGTGCCAAACAGTAATATTTAGGGTGCTCTACGGAACCAGTTGTAACTGCACTTTAGAGCACCAAAGTACACCGAAACAATCTATGGATATATTCTCAAAATCTATTATGTGTATCTTAGATATTGGATTTCTCAGCATGAGATCATTTCACTTTTGTAAGGGGTTTGAGTTATGACTGGATTAAAATGTTTTGTACCCCAAATGATTCGACAACTTTTTACATTATTGTATTACATACAAGAATACTTCTTAATTTGTTTCTCTATTTCTATATTTCTTAACCTGGCAGAAAAATGAATTGTTATAATATAAAAATTAAAATATTTATTTGTTATTTTTGTAAAAATTTGTTGCATTTGTTTATTAAGAAACCATTATGTGCTTTTAAAATGTACAAAGTCCAGTCTTGTCTAAAAATACGTAATTGAATCATTAAGTAATCATCTTTGTAGTGTAGTTGTGCCGTCATCTGCTGTTTCTTAAAGGAAATTTAAAGCATATTTTTAACAAAGTTAGACGTACTAAGAGGTTCTACAAAATATATTAATTTTAAGAGTGAGCCATTAAATAGCTTTTCATTCATCTTACTTTTTTTCTGTGTATAATTGGCTACTCTAGTGCTTGCAACTCCCCCTTCCTCCTCTTGTAACTTATAAATTACTGTTCTCGGGGGAACCACATATCTGGAGAGACCTTTTTTGAGTGCCCGTTCTTATCACTATTATATCGCCCAGTTTCGACGACCTGTCGAATGTAATTTACGCAAGCGCGCACACCCCTTCCTTGCCTATCTATCGAATTTGTGTGAGCACTATAAATTATGATGGATTTGTTAATTGGAATTCACCGCCAACGCTGACGAGGTGAACCAGTTTTTAATGTGCTACGCGACGAGATGTCGAGATGCCGATTCCGATGCCTATGCCGCCATTCGATTGAACTTTAGTCAAAAATGTTCTATACAAATTTTAGGCATGACGAGAGCGACTTCTTCTGATTCTGCCGCCCCTAACTGTGGCCTTCCCCCGGTTGGAGCAAGCGCATCCGGGGGGCAGAAGATGGATCCGTAGGGGGAGACGAACAGCGCCAGCATCGCCGGCAGATTATTTGGCATTGTTCCGAGTTCTAAATTTAGTTTGTCATTAAAGAAAAGGTGTGTGTGCGTGCGGAAAGTGTATCTCTGTGTAGACGCCCCTCTCTTTCTCTCTGTGTAAATCTAAATACCTCCGTGTGAGTGGGCAGATCGAATGGGGGAGAAATTCACTGGCGTTACAGACTCCAAAGGCGGATATGCTATCCAAGATCCGCTGTCTGTTACGTTGCGATCTTTTCGTTCATTGGAATCTCCCTCTGTTTAAAGCATATACTAAAAGTGGGGTTACAACGAATGGGAGGAAAGTTTGCAACATGGAAAGACATTGGGGTCTAATACTATTTTTCATTCTTTAACATTTACTTATTTTTAAGAACCAAACTAAAATATACAAATAAAAATAAGTATTCTTTCGTTACCTATAGATAGTTTCATAAAAAATACTTGTAATGTGGATTTCGAATAGATCATTTATGAAAACCAACAGTGATTGGTAAATGTTAATGTCATATACAAAAAAAAAGATTTGGCTCAGCCTTAAACTCTAAAACTCCAGATATTTCTATCCCTTCCTTAACATTGAATACGTAATCTAGAGCATCGAGTCTTCGTTCATGTCTGCTGCTGTGTAACTTTCCCTTGTGCTGTTTGGTCTCAAGTTCGCAATAACTATGATTAATTGTTGATTTTTTCGCATGTATTCCACTGGCAGTTATGCTCGCAAGTAAGCGTCATCTCACTCACACCCCTCTCCTTCTCTTTTTTTTGTTTGCAGGTTGACCTAGAACCGGAATTGAGCAATCTGCACCAAGAGTGAGTAATGCCAGTGCTATGTCGCTACATTGGAGGACGTGACTGTGATTTTCCCAGAATGCGGGGGAGACAGTGGGTAGGATCGGATCCAACTTCCTCTCCAACCAGCTGAGCAGATAAAAACGGATAAAGCCGGGGCAAATGAGCAGCCTAATTGCCAATTATCAGCTCGGACTTGTTTACACACTGGGAACGGCGGCAGTGTTAACATCTGATTGATTTGGTTCGGAACCTGATCCCGGCCAGACGCACTCCACCTGTTCGACTCCGGATTCCGGGCGATGATAAGGGACCAATAGACGGACTAACGGACGGACACAGAAGTGTTTACAACTGCTATTGACTACCAACAAGCTGGCCGCCTCTTCAATGAGCCAGCTAGTTCGGTGTGTAAACAAGACTCACGGCAAACACTTGACGGCAATAATGCGAGAGCTGGTTGGAAGTGGAAGTGGATGCGGGAGGGAGGAGTGGACCGCAATGGAGGTGACGATTGGCGCGTGCACGCCATGGGATTTATTTATAGCACGTGGGCTGCTCCTTTCCCACGCTAGACGACACAGACGCAAGCACCACCGAACAGAAGACCACAATTAAATCAGTCCCCTAACCCCAATACCCAATTCCCAATTTACAGCACTGAAGGCCAGGAGACCATACAGCTCTGCGAGGAGAATGTTAATCCGGGCAAAATCAAGCTGGGACCCAAGGACTTTGAGCTCAAGAAGGTCCTCGGTAAAGGTGGTTACGGCAAAGTATTTCAGGTAAGCAAATATCCCTCGATACACAGCTTACGGATCACTTATAATATGACTTATGCAGGTGCGCAAGACCGCTGGACGAGATGCCAACAAATATTTTGCCATGAAGGTGCTTAAGAAGGCATCTATTGTGACCAATCAAAAGGACACAGCGCACACTCGCGCCGAGCGCAATATACTCGAGGCAGTCAAGGTGCGATCGGTCGAGGATTATCCCCTTAATCCCCTCTAATCCGCATTTCTTGGTTTTCCCTAGCATCCCTTCATAGTGGAACTGGTCTATGCCTTCCAGACGGACGGAAAATTATACCTTATTCTTGAATATCTGAGCGGCGGCGAGCTGTTTATGCATTTGGAACGCGAGGGCATCTTCTTGGAAGATACAACATGGTAGATATTCATTTAACTAAGAATATTGAGATAAGTACTAATGATATCACAAACTTTTACAGCTTCTATCTAAGCGAAATCATTTTGGCTTTGGGCCATCTACACAAACTGGGCATCATTTATCGCGATCTGAAGCCCGAGAACATATTACTCGATGCACAGGGACACGTGAAGCTTACCGACTTCGGCCTGTGCAAGGAGCACATACAAGAGGGTATTGTCACCCACACCTTCTGCGGCACAATTGAGTACATGTGCGTGCGCCCGCAAGCGTCTTTTAATTTTTCTCCCCCTGGGACAAGTGAATTTGAATTTAATTTGTGATCGCTTTGCTTGCAGGGCACCTGAAATCTTGACCAGAAGTGGCCATGGCAAAGCAGTCGACTGGTGGTCACTGGGCGCTCTCATGTTCGACATGCTCACAGGAGTCGTAAGTGAACAGCCGAACAGTTTTGGGGCATCCTTGTATAATTGCTAAATTTAATTAGCCACCCTTCACCGCCGAGAATCGCAAGAAGACCATCGAGACCATTCTGAAAGCCAAGCTCAATCTGCCAGCCTACCTCACACCCGAAGCCAGGGATCTAGTGCGTCGCCTGATGAAGCGTCAGGAGCCCCAGCGACTTGGCAGCGGGCCCGAGGATGCGGCGGCTGTCCAAATACACCCGTTCTTTAAGCACGTCAACTGGGACGATGTGCTTGCCAGACGCCTCGAACCTCCTATAAAACCTCTCTTGGTAAGTAGCACTAAATTGGAAAAAATTTATACGAATTTTAATCACAATCCTTGTTTGATCCAACAGAGAAGCGAGGATGATGTCTCACAGTTCGATACGAGATTTACAAGACAAATTCCAGTGGATTCACCGGATGATACGACGCTCAGCGAAAGTGCCAATTTAATTTTCCAAGTGAGTTGAGAAAACTATGGGGTAATAGATATAAGAATGTATTAGTAGATTACGTGATAGGTCGTTTAACTAACCATGATCATTTAGTTTGGGAAAAATTCACACTCTTTTTCCCTTCCTTTTCTCTCTTTAAAATATTGATAGTGAACTTTTGTACACTTCTGCTTCGTTTTTAATCAATAAGGGATCATTTTTGGGTGGTTTCACAATAAATACTTCACTAAACATAAGTTTAAGCCTAGGCAAGGGGCCGTCTTTCCAACTTAGGTGTCAACGATAGTCAGCACCGCATTCAAAGTGGGGTTCCTTGAGGGGTATTCCCGTGGGTCCGTCTGTAAACTCACAGAAATTCAGACCGATCCGCCGAAAAGGATGGCAATTGCTTTTAGGATTTCCCCATTTGCCTCGATACGTGAGCCAATCAGGAACCAGTGACCGACCTTTAAGAAACATCAATAAATGGTCAGAGATGAGACACGATAATAATAAGCTTTTCTCACCATAAGATCTCAGGTTCTCGTAGCTTATATCCACATCCTTCCAAGTATTCCACGGCGTTCCAAATCCATTGATGTCATACAAGCGAGCCACCTTGACGAAACGGTGCTTGCCTGGTGCTGTCCACAGACCATGTGAACCCTTGGCGGCAAACAGAACCGGATGGTTCTTGAATGTCGTCACCGTTTTGGGAAAGTTTGGACGCTGCAAGATACCTTTGCGTGTCTCCTGGCGGCGGAACTCGAAGGATCCCGTCAGCCGGTTATAGCTGTAATAAGCGCCCGCATCGTGGGCAGACACATACATGGCCTGGGGTTCTGCGTCCCCATTGAAATACAGGCTCATGTGCTCCCAGTCGCCCACATGACTGCCGATATCCTTGCGATTGCCCAGACAATATCCATACACGGCTGGGAATGGAATCCTGCCAAGTGGCCCCAGACTCACGGTGCACATGGTCTTACCCTGACTGTAGGGATAGAACATCCAATAGGTTACATGGAAGCCCGGTAGTTTGCCCTTTCCGGGATTCTCCTCCTGTTCCGGAGCCTGGCCAATACTGTTCTCTTCCAAATTGTCATCTGGATCGGTGCCACCGCTAAACTTGACATTATCTGCCAGGTTAGCAATGAAATTGTTCACTGGCACTCCACTTTCCGTCTCCGATTCTGGGTCGGATTCCATTTGGGGCTTCTGGGTGGGTTCCAATACCAGTTCCTCGTACTGATTGAGTGGAGTGTACTTGGTGTCAGCCGCCGCCTCGCGTTTAACACGCTGGAATAGTGGAAACAGTCTAGAGGATCTTCGGACCGTATCATTGCGTTCCTCGAGGGGATCAATGGAGACGGGAATGTAAGCAGCTCGTGTGCTGACGGGTGCTGGAGTAGGCACTATTGGCATTATGGGTTCCCTCCTGGAAGGACACATGGTGACCACTCCATAGATGGGCACCGGCTTCTCATTGGGATTCCGTCCGTACAAAAAAGATTTGTCGTTCTCCAGGAGCTCCTGGATCTCATTGTTTGTGACTAGATGAGATTTGGTGGAGTACTCCCTGAACGGCACTCCAGGGCGGAAGCTGCTATCCTTATCCATGGGATGGACATTCTGTAGAAACTCCTCCACGCCCAGCGGCATGAATTTCTCCTCCGGCGCCAGCCAGACGATCGGTGCCCACTGTTTGATCAGGCGCTCGACTGCAATAGATTGGAAAGATGGAAAGGCCCCAGATAGGCTCGGTTAGCACGGCTAGCTTCGTTTTTAATTAGCGCCCCCCGAACCGCTGTAGATTACCCAACTTGCTCGGCCATCGCTCCTCTAGACTAGCTCTGATTTTCGTTTTTCAAATTCAAGTGTAATAAATTTCACTTTCACACTTGAGGCTCGGCCATCAAGTCGACTTGGCTAGGTGCTCCTCCTCTCCATGCCGCTCCACTGCCCTTACTGCCGGCCCGAAAAAATCAAGTCGGTAGCGGTAATGTCTGTTATGGCTAATTCGCAAAATTTAACGCCACCCGAGGCAAGCTGACGATTGTTCGTCCGACTACCGCTGTTCCATATAAATACGCACTTGAAGACCCGCCTGATGGGGCGACTCCCCTGCACTAAGCAAGTGCCAAACGATGAAGTCGTTCAACCAAATCGTGACGGAAATTTCTCTTGGTCACACAAAGAAAACATATCAGGAGGGGATGGGTAAATAGTGAAGGAAAGTGGCATTGTGTGCTGCCCTAAATCAGAAAATAATTGTTCTAAAATTGTAGAGTGCTTTATAAAGCTAAAAAGATAGGAAATGTGGGAAATGGACATTGTCATGCCTCTTAATCCTCAACATTCCTAAATAATGTGAATTGATAACTGAGCAATCCAAAGAAATCAAAAATGTATTTGATTACCCTTTTCCACAGTTGATCCTTATCTGATCATCTAATTGCATTAGAAACTGATATTTTTCATAACAAGAGTATACTTTTAAATACGTTGAAAATCCTGATAGCCAAAATATGTTAAATTCCTTTACGAAGACTATCTTATCTGATCATTAAAATGCATAAGAAATTGGTACTCTCTATAACAAAAGTAAACTATCAAATAGGTTGAAAATCCTAATAAGTTCCTTTATGAAGACTACATTTTATAAATGAAACCATTTGTTTTATAATTCGCTAGAATTTCGATAAGTTATATCCATTGTTGTTTGAAGCTGTCGCTATTTGTTGTTTCGGTTGATGCATACCTACTTCTTTATCTAATGGCGATATATGTGCATATTGCAACATGGGTTGTTGTTGCTGTTGCTGTGGAGGCTGCTGCTCGAAGGAGGCAGCTTCATTGTTTTGAACGTTATGTGTGTTACTGTTGGCGTTGCTGCTGGTGTTGTCGATGAAAGTGGTGGCGACACCATCTGAAGTTGCATTCAAGAGTCTGATGTTGCTGCTGGCAGGCGATGTTGCCGCTGTACTTGCAATATTTGCTGCGTGTGTGCTGTGTGCGCAAAGCAGCGCTGCCAGGCAATGCAGCAACGAAAGTGAATTTATTTTCCACTGCTTGGACATTTTGCGACTTTTGCCTGCTTTGATTTGTATTTATATATTTGTTTTTTTTTTTAGTTGTGGTTTGTCTTGGCTAGTGTTTATTTATTGGCTCGCTTGGTTGTTTGGTTTTTGGTTTTTACCCACGATTCACGAACAAAGCGTGGCTTTTGTGTTATCGGCTCGGCCGTGTTGTTATTATTTTTACACAGTTCGAACGTTTGCCAATTTATTACTCAGAGATATTTTACACATTTTTCGTTCATTGTGGCCAGTTAGCGCATTTATGTTTCTTTTATTTTGCTGCTTATGCAATGTAATTTATTTAACCAATTTAACACTTCCGCGCATTGACAGTTTGAGCAGCACAGCAGGTAGTCTCGTTCTTGCCCCAGTTTAATAAACAAAAACAAAAAAACTCAATCGGTTTGAGTGACTTATGCACGTGCACGCATGCGCGATGAGTTTCTCTCGGTTTTCAGCTGGTCTCGTTGCCCTTCAACTGGTTTTGGGCCCACCAACTGGTAATCCCGATAGCCCTGAACCACCGATGACAATGCACGCTGGCCCCAGAATCAATGTCAACGCATTATGGTCGGTGAAATGTGGCAATTTCGGGCCACTCAGTCGGACGGACTGTGACTGGCTTGCAAAAAAAATGCTTATGAGCTTGGGGTCTAGGCCTTTCTCCAGCTTGGATTTTCTACCACGAGGCACGAAAGTTACTCGGAGTCGCCTTGTCTTGGGTTTGTTTTCTTTCTTGATTTGCTTTTTGGCTGAGACTCCGCTTTGCTTGGGTGTCCGAACGCTTTGAGCGTTTCTGTGAGACTGTCGATGAGTGCAGCCAAGTGGCCAAGTCGGTGGATTCGGTAGATTCCATGTTTTGGTTCGCTCGCTCTCTTTCTGCTGAGCTGCATTTTAAGCCAAGTGCGCTCCACCAGCCAGTTGCCTTTATCCCCACCTTCTCTCTTGGCCGTTTTTTTGTTTCATTTGTTTACAAACATCTGAGTTCATTTAGACCAGGTGAGTCGAACGACCCTTGAGCTGCTTTCGTTCGGCGTTTTGGGGCTCACTAAGCTGTGTAAAGTTTGTTTTGCACATGGCTTTATGGGATTAGTGGGCTAAATGTGAAGTTAAATATTGCCTAATTAAGGTTTTGCAGTCTTTGGACAGGCGGAAATGTTGTTGTACTTTGCTTGGGGCTTATAAGCAAGTTGGGTAACCAGTGTGAACAAATTCTGATGCTTTTTAGGAAGCACTAAAGTAAAGCAGATGGACTAGTAATTAAATTTGTTGCTAAGCAGTTGATCAAATAAATTGTTTGTGTTGTTATTAGTAACAAAAGTGTTAGCATTAGAATTTAAACATTCCCCTATAACCAAACCAGTTTTTCATAACTCTGTGTTAGATTAAGGAAAGTGGTTACCAATACGAACGTCTATCTCGGATTAGCTTTAATATAAATGGGTTAAGACTAAGCAAACTCTGTTGGCAATAGCTTTAAAAGAACTGTTTCTTTCGGTTATCTCATCATAAATTCGCTAATTACTTAATGATGCTTGGCCAATCATCACGTGAGAGGCCAAGCTCAAGGTTTCTAAAACCGTACCGAGAAGCGGATTCATTTCGCACCTGATCGAGGCCCAAACTCGGATGCAATTAGAACTTTATTATGGATAGTTGAAAACTTTCTCATTGCCTCGCCTGCTCGCTCGTCGCACCTCGAATTATTATTATGCCTTAGTGGGTCAGCGCTCGATCGCAGTTCCAATTAACGCGACGGCGCACTCACGTACATTTCACCTGGTAGCGACAGGTGCCCCCGTCCACTCACCTGCAGCTCCGACCCATGGAACTCCTCCTCTCAATCCGACGTCACGCATTTGTGTCCAGCCTCTCCGTGCCGCGGGAATTTACACAGATAAACACACGGCAGCCGGCGGCTTTCAATTATTTTATTGCATTTGCCGGTGGATTTCGTCAAGCCAGATATATTTAATTAATGTCTCTCCTCGGCGGGTCTGGAAAATTATGTAAAATGTGTGTTACATGGAGCACAGCTTAGCCAGCCGGCTTGCATAATCCCTGCTCCAACAGGCAGTGGGGGCATTATTAGTATTCAAGACGGGAATCGGATCGAATCGAGCTGGACTACCGACTACTGGTTGCCCGATCCGATTTCAATTGCGCACTCACGCGGTCGAGCAAGTGGGTCAGGGATTTGGGGGGATAGTGTCACACTCTAAATGGCAAGCAACTCAAGGTTTTCAATTTGTCGTCTGTTTTTCGCAGGGTTTCACCTACGTAGCGCCCTCGATACTGGAGGACATGCATCGAGCCAACCGGATGCCGGCACGCTCCCCTCGACGTGCCCCTCGCCAGCTGCCGGATAGCAGCTTCCGGCTACAGTTCCCATCGGCCAACGTAGGAGCCAATGCCCCCATGGCCATGCACGGTCATCCACAGCGATCCGGAATGTTTGCTCGAGCCACGCCGCCGCATCATATGCAGACATTCGCGCCACGCCCCTCGCCGGCGCAGGATGAGATGATGGACGTGCAGCAGGGTCTGCCGATGGTCTAAGGGCTGGAGCGGTCGCTTCCCAACCATCCCATCCCGTCCCATCCCAACACCACCCCGCTTCCTTCCCAAAAAAAAAACAACAAAAAACAGAAATTGACAGTTACTATTATGACGTATGTGGAGTGTGGACTTGGTTAAGGATTCGGAATGAGCAGGACGATCACCAGGAGGAGATGGCGGAGCAGCAGCAGGAGGAGCACATGACCTTAGTGTGCAAGTTGTTTTTGTTAAAGAGAAGCGCGCACGGATCGTGCTGTTGAATGATTATGATAATGAGAGTGCCGAGGCAGATTATGAAGATGATTGTGCTACGCCAAGGAGAGCGTTCGTTTTTGGATACACCTAGATACTAAAGTTAGAGACATCCACATAAGCATATGCTATAGCAATTACTATGTATACACCTAGAGAGATGGTAGGCGAGATCGCAACCAGGCCCGTTTCCCCCAACCCCAAACTTATCCGTGTTTATGTATAAATATTATACTTACACTTATGTTTTATATAGGCAAAAAGGTAAGGTTTACACAATTTAGTTCAAATGTACACGCAACACTTTAATTTCTTTTTACACTTATTTAACTTCAATCGAAACAGACAGCAGACCATTTATATTACAAAGAAAGTTCTGTATTTGCGAGATAGCTCTATATATAATAATATACAAATGAAGCGTGTGAGTTGGTGGTTCGGAAATTTAGCTTCAGCCACAACTACATTAATCAAGTATAATTACTCTGGCTAGCAATGTTCTTTAAAGCTTATTTTTTTTATAGTTGTTTTCCAATTGGTTTTGTCATTTCGAACACCTTCGGTAGGCATGTAGTGACGTTAGTTTTTAGGGACAACAGCAGCGTAGCCAACAACACAAACTTAAATGAAATGTAAATTATAAACTAAACTAGAACATTAAAGAATAAACTATAAATTAAAATATATAAAGTAATGTAAAGGTTTCCCAGCTCGATTATAAAAAGTGACCCGACCTTGGGCCTAACTTGCTCGCATAGCCAATTTGTATTCAATAACCACCCCCAGAAGAATTCTCCCTCTTTCATAGTCAGCCCCAAGAATTGGTCTAATTCGATTTCGGTTGCATTTCTGGATTCAAGCTAGTAAAAAGGAACAAAATAATACCGTGTACTGAGAAGCTAAACGCTGCCACAACAATAAACCCAAAAGGGGACATATAAAAATGTATACAATCGATTACGTACTTTGATTATATTCCGTTTCAGTCTGAATCATATTTTTTTGTATTTGCCTAAGGAATGAGAAAATAGAAAATCTTCACAGAAAATAAAAAGCAAAAATTAAGATGTCAAATATAATCAAAAGGTGCTTTGAATTGTTTAAAAAGACAAGACAACTACAGAAAAAACGGAAATAAAACGGAATAGAAAACATGAAAAACTATTGTGTATAAAGAATATTTATATAAACAAAAAATAAATACCTCAAAAGCAATTATTTTTGTTACAAGCAGCTAAAAAGTGTGCGATGCAAATAAAGAACTTAACGAAATGATAACTACCAACTAAAGTACAGAAAGAAAAAACTATTAACAAAATAAATCGAGAAATTAGGAAACAGAATATATAAAAACATATATTTTTTTTCATTGTACACTTATTTCTTTGTGTTTGGTTTTGTTTACTGCTAAATGTATTTTGTATTTAATTAAACAATCATTTTTTATATATAAGAACAAAAAAGAAAAACCCAAACAAAAACCAAAAATGAAACTGTTTTCATTTGTGGAAGGATATGTCTTATTTTCACTGTTAGTAGACATAACTAAGCGATGTGCTAAAGCCAAGAAATATGTAAAAACAAAAAAAGAAAACAAACAAGCGGAAACGGAAGAGAATAACTATCGAACAAATACCCCATACTGAAGAAACACTGCCTACACAGAAGAGGAAACAAGAAGTAACAAAACATAAAACTAGCAACAAATTATTACCAACTACAATAAACAAACAAATCGCAAGTAAATGAATTTAAACCAGACCCGAGATCAAGGGCGAAACCAAACAGCAGAAACAGCACTAAATGCAGAGAGTTACAGAATTTCGTAGATAGCCAAGTTAACCAATTGAAACAGATCCTCCAGCACAGATCATCCAACTACCGATCGAACGATCGATCGATCAGGAGTCATATTACCAAGGTTCAGCACCAATAACTGAGTTCGGGCCAAGTGCCACAAACTGTACAGTCCAGCTAATTGAACCAAGTAATTAACCGATTCCGCAAAGTACTTACCCCCGCGGTTGGGTGACTAAAAAGTAGAGATAAAGCCAGAATAGAATTTCAAAGTTCATTGTTAATAAACCATAAACAAATTACAGAGACAGCGATTCAACACAGGCTTAGTTATAGTTATTTTGTAGGAAGTACTGTCCCAAGGGGCGTCGCCACATTTGTTGACAGCCCATCGAACCGGGCCTAATTGCATACCAAAATAACCAAGTCGATCAATAGTTCTGGAAGAGAGCTGCCATAAGCCATAAGATCGTTGAAGCCAAACGAAACCCGCAACACGGAAATCCAAAACAAAGAGCGAAACATTATAACGTCGACATTCAGAGATCCTAGTTAATTAAATTGTACATTTCTATCATTTAGCTGTAAGCGCAGTGCGTATATACGACTATGTGGATATAAAAGATGTATATGGCAAATGTGTATCGTAATATATTAAAACTTAATTTTACAAAAAAACGAAATTCGTCTGGGGACTCACTCGAAAGCTTTATGAGCTTTCAAGCTGCTTAAGTCATTGACAATTGGGGGCTTGTCAGCGGCTCTAAAACTGTATTGATGGGGCTATTCAGTCAATGTTTGAGAACCCTACGGTTTGAAATTACATTTTCCATATCAATAGTATCTTGACATTTTAAATTATGCAAGTCGTAAATCTAAAATAGAATTTAAAAAACTTTTTCCTAAAAATGAATTTGCTTAAGCAACTTTCAAATATGCAACTTTCTAAAAAATATAATTTATTTATTCGTTTTTTGTAAAAAATATTTTTACGAATTAGAAATTATTTCTCTTCTCTTAGAAACCTCCGGTTTTCTCTTCCAGATCATCTCAAATTGCTAGTTCAAATGCAAAAACCCATTCATCGACAGTTCTTTATTTTTAGCCACTCCCACTTGGACACGCAAATGTCATTGATTAGCATAA